GACATGACGTGCGGACTGCGGAGTAGATCTACAGTGCGCTCCCCGTGACTGTGACTGCGTCGAGATTGAAAACAACACGACACTGTTCACTGTTTAGTGTTTGCAGCTGCACTACTGACTCTAGCTCTGTTGTCGACTCGAAGCCCAGAAATTGAAAGAATTTGTTCTCAGTGGTCTAGTGAAGAACGTGTTGTTACGGATAGATCCAGTGCTGTGGGCTCGTTAGCTGAAAGGAATATTCAACACGTTTGGAGATGGCGTTTCTTGCGTTTGGCTCGTCCACCTCTCCGCTCCAGCTGTTGTCGGTGATTTTTGTTGCGATGCTGATAGTTTTCATTCCCAACGCCCGTGCAGCCAGCATCCCCGTCGTCGCGCACGGAAATGGTAAGAAGTCATTCATTCCGTAGGTAATGAAATGTTTAGCCGGGCATGCACACCTCCTCTGCATTAACATTGTACTCGTTTATAAACATTTCAAGGAAAAGGCATTACTAATACTATGTCGGAACCACAATGTTCCTATCAGACCAAGGAGTTTGTTACTAGTACCAAGAGTAGATAAACAAGAGTGTGCAACTCGCGGATGGGTAGGCCCACGGCGGAATTTTTTGTTGACGTAATCTTTTCGACGACGCACGCGCTGCGAGTCTTTCGGAAAGGTTTCCCTCGTGCTCTTGGCCGGCTTCACACTACAAGGTTGGTGCCCAGCACGTGCTGTCACACTGCTCTGCAGCAAAATGCGCGTTCTTCTGAAAAAAGGTGACGTCAACAAAAAATTCCGCGGGGGGGGGGGGGTATCTGCAGATTGTGCAGGAGAGATCCGGAGTTGCACACTCTTGTTTATCTACTCTTGCTAGTACTTGTTAGACATGTTGTGCATGCCTGATGGCTATACTTGCACTACAGTCAGCCTCAGTGCAAAGGAACACAAATCGAAATACTTAAGAGGTTTTGAAGAGTGAAACTTCATGCGAACGTTCGCTCTGTCAAGGCACTCTAGAAGTCGGATTAGGAAGGCTCTCATTGCAACACTCCACAGACAAGGGCAAGGTCAATGGTCCATGAATTGATGTTAGTGTAGACACTGAGAGAGAGAGAGAGAGAGAGAGAGAGAGAGAGAGAGAGAGAGAGAGAGAGAAAATATGTGTGAGACAGAGAACTGCTAGGAGGATTATCAGGCTCCTGCAGACACCGGAACCGGGTGGAAGGAATGCTTATACACTCGTACCTCTCGTATCCGTGCGATCAGGGACTGGGCACTGTTCATAATTCGGAAATTTCCATAACTCTGGATCATGTACATTTTGACGAGGAAGTGCCAAAGACCTGGCGTATGATGTCATCATTTCAGTGCCAAAGACCTGGCGTATGATGTCATCATTTCAGTGCCAAAGACCTGGCGTATGATGTCATCATTTCAATGCCAAAGACCTGGCATATGATGTCATCATTTCAGTGCCAAAGACCTGGCATATGATGTCATCATTTCAGTGCCAAAGACCTGGCGTATGATGTCATCATTTCAGTGCCAAAGACCTGGCGTATGAATGGTATGATGTCATCATTTCAGTGCCAAAGACCTGGCGTATGATGTCATCATTTCAGTGCCAAAGACCTGGCGTATGATGTCATCATTTCAGTGCCAAAGACCTGGCGTATGATGTCATCATTTCAGTGCCAAAGACCTGGCGTATGATGTCATCATTTCAGTGCCAAAGACCTGGCGTATGAATGGTATGACAGGCGCGTACGCAGGGTCACCTCTAGGGGGGTTTCCAACTAAACCGAATTACAAACAATGTGTTCTTTTTTACCTTTTAAAAAATTTCAAAATTATGCATTGTTCGCGTTCCTTGGATCATAACTTCAGTTCTACTCACTCAATCTTCATAATCTTGGGCTTCCTGGAAGTGGAATGGTATCCACGAGAGAAAGAGAATGAGGTCGACCATGATAGCCAGGACACTGCAGGCGGGTAGCACCGCTGTTGGTGGTGGTCTGGGTGTATGGGGGTCGGGGGTGTCCCCCGGGAAAATTTTGAAATTAGGGAGCAAAATCCTGCACTCTGGGCACTTTTGGCATTGGTCCGGAACAGCCGGACCAGCTGCTACGCTGCTGCACTGTACTTGTATCCATAGAGTGCAGCAACGGTGCAAAAATGCCCCAAAGGCCCAAACGCATCCTGCTCCAGCGATTTCGTTTTTCTCGATCGCAGAGTTTCGATTGTTTTGCTGTGTACTCTTGAGAATATCACAAGTGAAGCCCCTGCAAATTTGAGCAAGTCAATGTGACGAATAGTCTCAAATTTTCGATACTCAAGTTGCACTGCGCGCTTTGGAAATTGCCGGGATCGCGGCTCAACTAACGAATGCTATATCTCAAGAACCATTGCTCGCAGCGCTTCGCGGATTGTTTCTACCGACAGCTGAGAATTTTCTATTCGACCTGGATATTTGGTTCGTTGGAATTGAGCCAGATTTGACTGAGTTACGATCTGTTGAAGTTTGCATTCTTGTCAGATCAATCGCACGCCCTACCAAAATGTGCCCAAAAATGTTGCTCGTTTGGAACATTTGGGGGGGTTTCCGGGCAACGGGAAACCCCCCCTGCGTACGCGCCTGTATGATGTCATCATTTCAGTGCCAAAGACCTGGCGTATGATGTCATCATTTCAGTGCCAAAGACCTGGCGTATGATGTCATCATTTCAGTGCCAAAGACCTGGCGTATGATGTCATCATTTCAGTGCCAAAGACCTGGCGTATGATGTCATCATTTCAGTGCCAAAGACCTGGCGTATGTTGTCATCATTTCAGTGCCAAAGACCTGGCGTATGATGTCATCATTTCAGTGCCAAAGACCTGGCGTATGATGTCATCATTTCCACAGAAATGAGTACTGTATACAGTCCAATATTCGCATCACGAAATGTTCGCGATCTCTCAAAACTAGCGAATTTACGAAGGTAAATGTTAACGGAGCACTGTGGTCACACACATAATTATATCACTTTTGAAGTTTTATTTCATGATGGTTAATATTCGCGTTATCCTCTTCTCGCAAAAGTAGCGAACATTAATATTTCGCAAACACGATGGAGTTTAGAGTAGTAATATTTCCACTAAAGCTCACCCGCGGGTACCAGTGACTTGGAGGTTTGGATTAGAGAGATAAGAGTGTATGTCGTAACAGTGCAGAAACGGCAGATTATCCGGGGTTATGTGTGTTAAGCTGGGCTCGCTCGTTTCCATGGTAACGGGGTATCATGTAGATATCAGTAGCAGTTGTAGCAGTTCAGTTAGTTGATGATGAATCTAAAAAATAAGGGGTTTTATCCGCCCTCTCCACCCGCAGAGAGTGCAGTCATCCTACCGACATAGATTGTACTTGTCTACACTGAGCAGCACAGCCTGCACAGGCCATACTCGTATCACTGGTCTACTTTCAGAAAATAGTAGTGTGACTCTCTCTGACCCAGGTCATGGTAATAACCCGGGGGGGGGGGGGGGGGGGGTAGGGCATTGATAGCTCCAGAAGTGTGCGTCCAGGGACCCTTGTGAATACACAAATCCTCCGGCCATAAACTAGACTACGATGATTTGTGTCCGACACGGTTGGAAGCGGCATACAGTCATTTGATCTGGTAGCTGAACTTGGGGTTGACCCTGTGCTGGCGTGAAATGAACAACATTGTTCCACTACAATCCATGTAATAATTATACAAAGGGCGTGAAAGAAAATTTTCACGATTCGTGTGTGACTACTTCGAAGTAGAGTTTTCCGCGCCCATAGGAACGTCACCACCCTCAATAGATCAAGGCGCAGATGCATAGGGCGTGGAGGTGCTACAAAAAAAATACACGAGTTCCTGAATACCCGGGTGACACACCATGTAGACTGAGAGTGCTCAATACCGCGGTGGTAGATCATAATATTATTTGTATTACACTTATGCTGACCTTCATACAAATTACTCCCAATCTCTAAAAAGTCCTCTGACGACAAAATTTGCACGCAAAATACTCGAGTCGACTAGGATCCTGAGACGCTGCCTCCTTTGGGGTTGGAGCCATTTCTTCTTCAACATCACAAATCGACAACTGAAGGATAGTGTTAGGTAGCTGGAAAGTTTGTTCCGTCCTGAGATTATTTGAATTTGTTTGGCTGACGTTCAGTTTGTATTGTGGTGGTATTATAATGACTATGAGATGTATGTTGGGTGTGAAATCATGGGGTTTATGTGCTCATAGGGTTTATGTGCTCATGAGGTGTAAATGCCCAATACTAACCACCAGTGCTTGATGGGGAATTTGATTGAAAGTTTGTATGAAAGGCCAGCATAATACACAGGACAGGGAAGGCACAAAGCTAGGTCGTTGCAATTCTGAATTTCATGCCATGCAATCATCAGGCAACATCAAACATGATGCTGTTCGGGGTGGGAGAGGGGGATAACACTGGAGTGGTCAACACTGCAGTTGCACTTTTCAGTTCGGAACTCCCTCGTCTATTCGAACAGAATGAGATTCAGGCTCCTGGTTACTATCCAGTTGTCCAGTTGTTTAGCCATGATGAGCAGGTGTGCGCTTAGGGCAACCTGGCCTGTAAAAGGGCAACAACACAGCAGTCAGTTTTGGCCTGGATTGGTGCACTGCAGAGGATTGAGGTGTTGACCATTCACACAGAACATGCAGCATAAGACATAATCAGTATGTAAGATAAAGGGGACTGTCCCTATCTCCAGAAAATGCCAGGCATAATCAGGTTCCAATCTGACCAGAAAGTCAATATTTTACTACTCAAATGACTACATATGAGCCGAGCCAAGCTAAAAGGTGGCTTAGGCATAATTTTTGGAAATTTCTTTTTTCATGCCAAAGTGATGTCTTTACATCCAACTTCCATCATGGAAATGTTGGTGCCCATCTGAAATGTATATGTGCCATAAATAAGCCTACATTGTGCACATGTCACAGAATGGCTGGTATCAATGACGCTAAGGATTCCAAGACCTTCCCAAACTCCAAGAAAACATGGGACACCAAGTAGAGACAAAGCTTAGCAGGTGTGCAAGCAATACAAGAAGAATGAGCACTTGTGTTCTAATTAGAAGATCCAAGAAAGAAGAAATAACAGATCTACATTAAATTTTCATCATGACTCGTATCATTTTATCACGCAATACGAATTTTCATATCCTTCATCATGATGTTGTGACTATATGTTTCGCTGCGTTGGGGAATGTCGCATCTTACCAAGACAGTCCGTTATACTCTCTCCAATCACCTATGCCAGGATGAATTAATCCTTTCATTTAGCTCGTAGTGCTAAGCCAGAGATCTAGCTCCATTGGTGTACTGCCCTTGCACCTACATATAGGTCAAGTAGACTGCCCATCGCTAACAAGCGGCACTGGTTCTTTGTCCGTCCTAGTCCATGTCTTTCTCCTTCCCTGCCAAGGATGCTGGTAGAAGGCGCCGCGCGGGACAAAATGCTAGCAGGTAGAGTCAATGCATCGCTTCGTCGTGTGGCACTATTTCCTTGAAACGAGGAAATTTTGCAATCCAGTACGCCACGTCATGAACACTAAATTTGAAGGTAGCCGAAACAAAGTGAAACCTTGCAGCAAGAGCCAACTCACCAGGCCGCTTGTCAGAATGATAGTCGGAAGGCTTGTAGACATCTCCCCATAGCTACACTCGCCGCTCTAGTCGTGGCCACGATAAGAAACACAGCCACTATGCATGAGCAACTCTTCCTCGTGAAGTAGGTTTTGGCGCACACGGATACAGAATGTCATCCTGCTCACCTCCACATTCTCTAGAAGCTCCATTACGATCTCTGGCAACGCTGAGGAATCCCCACAACGATGAAAGAGGGAACACTGAAGAAGTGTTGCTCAAACATAAAAAGGCTTCTCTCTTCATACGCTTGCAAACTTGAAAGTGAATATTTTCGCGATCGCGCTCGAGTAGAATTTTGCCAACTGTGACGTTTTGGTGATTTTCTCGATTTGTTGTCAAAACACGAAGCCACTTTTTAGCTTGGCGCGGCTCATATGATGTTGTCCCTTTCATGTTTTATGGTGTTCTGGTTGCCATAGACACCTGTATGACAAGATGGCTGACTGCCGCTACAGCAGGCAGTGTTTCATCTGGAGCAGACCTTCAGCGATTTGAGAGGCTAATAAAGATACTCCAACCACCTGTTGACGAGGACACTGTTCACGAAACGAACCCGGAACTCCTGGCAGTAGTTCTCGGTGGAAATGAGCAGGCTGTGAATTTCCTCTATCGCTGCATGGGTAAGATTTCTGAGTAGATGATTCTGCCATGTTCTGCCGTCTAACAGAGCATATTGCATATTTGCTGGATTGCAATTACAAGAACTCAGTGCATACGGTGTACTTACTCTGCACATTTCTACACAACATTCATCTATAATAATCTTACTGACTTTTGAAAACACAATTGGCACCAAAGTTATGCTCAAGACCTCACTCAAATTTGAAAAGGTTTGTGTTGGATCTGCTTTCCCATACATTTTGTCATGGTATACTTGTCCAACTATTGTAAAACCTGGCCTTATCCAACTCAGTAACATTGGAGTGTTCGATCGTTAATGGGGCAAGGAAGAATAGCACGGGTCACACAATACGGGGATGTGTAACGGTTTTCACTATATTTACCCAGAATTGTCAAAACACATGCGAGACAACCGGAAATCAGGATGCGGTTTTTAGATGAAAGGACATGCTCTCTCTCTCTCTCTCTCTCTCTCTCTCTCTCTCTCTCTCTCTCTCTCTCTCTCTCTCTCTCTCTCTCTCTCTCTCCCTCTCTCTTTCTCTCTCTCTCTCTCTCTCTCTCTCTCTCTCTCTCTCTCTCTCTCTCTCTCTCTCTCTCCCCCCCCCCCCACACACACACATACACAAACACACACACACAGAGGATTCTGTTGGATCTCGATCACGGAAAAATACAAATTGAATTATCCAAGTTTGTTGAATCAATTTTTTCTGTTTCTATGTTTGAAGGTAACCATGACGATACAGAGTGTCTGCGACAATCACCATGCCAGCATCTTGGTCGGTGTGTGTACAGTAGGGAACCTGGTTCATCAGGATCACCATACCCAGGGTACAGATGTGTGTGCTCTAGTGGTGTCAGTGGACGGTTTTGTCAGTATGGTGAGTGATACGAGTACAGTTATGCAGCTCACTGAAATCCCACACAAAGTGCTAAACTGATTTCCTGAATCAGCTCCAATTACATACATAACTGTACTGGTACATGTGTACATCCAGCAGCATACGTACCACTTCCAACGTGTCAAACGCACTGCAAGTTGAGGAGCCAATTATGCACTTTGGGCCGGATTTCACCGAGCACAACTCTACTACAGACTTGTGTTGATGAACATTATCTCCAGTTTACAGTGTCTTGGAACCATCGGGACTGATGAATAGGGTGGTTTCACATCTATCACATGAACATACCAGACAGCCATGTTAGTTCCAATTCCACTCAACCCTTATTATTATTTGAGTGATTCCCCAAAAGCCGAAGCCTGAATCAAGGGGGTTCCCTCTAACCTCTTGGCTGGTAGAGAGACGGAGGTATCCATGAACCGGTGTTGTTGTGTTGGTTTGTCCCGTGTACATGACAGTGTAAACCACAGCGTTACCTAGCTGTTCATCATCACCGTGTAAGAATGGTGGTACTTGTCAGGAGACAAGTGAAGGATACACATGCCAATGTCCCACACTCTACACAGGACGACATTGTCAAAACGTAAGTACGGACACATGTCTATTGTATCTTGATAACGTTATCCACCATGGTGCTAACTGGCCATGGCTGGCGACAATGATCTCCCAAAGTGGAAAAAACATTAATGTGTATGCAAGGGTCTTCTTCGTCAATTTGCAACATTGACTAATGTCAATGACCTGCCCAAATACTAAAGTCAGACCTCGCTTATCCTGTCCTCATTTATCCGGATCCCTCGCCATCCGGAAGAAAATCGTTGGTTACCAATTTACAGCATATGTGATGCATACATACAGTAGGTGTGTTCGATTATCCGGTTCCCTCGCCTATCCGGATATTTTTGTGGAAAACGAATGTGTGCGGTTAAACGAGGTCTGACTGTACTGGCATCCACTGGGCTTCTAGGGCATGGGTGATAATATTCATTACCACAACAGCACACCTCCGCCTTGATAGCATGAGTCATAGATTACCTTGATACACACCCATAGGGATGAGAACACAACTATGGAAAGCAAAGCAAAAGTGCTGGCTGCAGCCTGATGTTGCTAACTCACATGTTTGCCAAGCCACTTCTCTTTTTCTCTTTTATTCTATTCTTTTCCGCTCTCATCTGCCACCTCTGTCTCTCTGTCTCCATTTCTCTGTGTTCATCTGTATCTGTCTCTCTATCTATCTGTCTCTGCCTCTTTGTCTCAGTCTCTCTCTCTGTTTGTCTGTCTATCACTCCATCAACTGGGAGCAATAATTGCTCAAATGCATCGGTAATCACGGTGTTTTTTCTTGCAATTGTCCTGATGAACGTGATGAACAATCTTTGGTCATCAAAGTCTCTCCCCTTCGGAGAGTGAAATCAGCTGTATAGTTGTTCTGTTTTTTTGACGTGAAGTACACTTGGTTTATTTTTAACTTTGTGCTGGCTGTACGACAGAATGGTTGTCCAAACACATCCTGGCAAACGTGACGTCATCGTTGTCCAAACTTACCACCATCACGAACGGCCTGCTGACGAGCACAGCAGATGCTGTGAGGAAGTCGTCCGACGCAGTCGCTGCTTTTCTTTCCCGTCTCCAAGTCACCGTCAATCGAAACCTCGATCAGAGATTGGAAGCAATGCAGCGAAAGTTGCAAAACCATACCACATTTGTCCAGGTGAGTACGGATTTCAGATTGCTCTTTGATTTGAGTAGTTTTCTCTCTTCCTCAATCCCTAATAATAATTATGGTCTCACTGCTGCAGAGGTCACCTTTAGTTCACCAGATTGTTCGGGCATGATGGTCCACCAACAGGGTGAAACAGTAATTTGCTAAAATGTGCTTTTTAAAGAAAGAGGTAGGATGGAGAATAGTATTTAAATTCCTCTCTGAGTCTTGTCACACTATTCTTCCTGGTGATGGTGTATGTCCCAGACTCCCAGACCTGTACCGTAGTTCCGCGCATATAAGCCCTCGGGCCTATATCCGGATATAAGCCCACCTCCGTATAGGCCCATGGGCTAATATACAGACCCAAACACCGTAGTACAGCATGTCAGTGCAGACTAAATTCCCAGTACCGGTACCTACGGTAGGCGGACAACCGCGCACAGACTTGTACTTTTTCGCGTGCCAGTTGCTTTCAAAATTTGCATATAGGCCCAGGGCTAAAAAACGAACCATTATTACTGATTTATTTTCCCGGAAAATGGATTATTTCGTATATTAGCCCATGGGCTTATATGCGCGGAACTACGGTACTGATTTTTTCCCCGGAAAGTGCATTATTTCGTATATTAGCCCATGGGCTCATATGCGCGGAACTACGGTATGTAGATTGTATGCAGACTCCCAGACCAGTGCATAGGTGACATATAGACACGCATCAGAGCCAGAGTTTACACTTCCCCGATGTCCAGCACACAAATACTTGCCATTTCCAAAATTCACTCCCACCTCAACTAAAAAAAGAGGGAGTGTTAGAGCTGGGGGGGGTGAGCTCATTCCACCTTGATGTAAAGCACTATAGATATAAAAGGAAGGGAAAAACCCTTGTAGCTAGCACTGAACATGACGAAAAAGCGATCATCAACCATCGCCGTCAGAGCATGGACTTCACCCCAACACAACCTATGCAATTATTTATCATAAACTTGGTAATGCCTTCTAACTACTGCACTTTTTGCATGATGGAAGATTGCATGGTTCAGTAGATGGTATGAGAAGCTGCATTGTACCTTTTCCACAGCAAATGTTCTCGTAGAGATTCAAATTACTGGTCTTGTGTGCTCAGCGTCGCCTTGTTGTATGCAGTGAGAACATTATCCCTGTCTTGTTTTCCCTGTTGTTGGCCTGCAGGAGTCGGAAATGAAGATGGCCAAGATGCAGGCAGCCTTGGACCGTATAGACACAACCCAACAGGTGAGTGTACCTCTTGATCACACAGTACAGTACTTCCTCCGTTAACAAAAACTTCGTGATGGAATTTTCAGGGGCTGATTTGGGCAAAAACTGCCGTGAAATGAGTCACAATCACTTTCTTGGCCTTCCCTGGCATGCCATGACAGAGGTACGATGCAAGGAAAGCGACCTTTCACAACAAGCCGAGCGGAATCGATGGTTGCGCTGTGGAAACATAGGTGATGACAGTCATGGCGAGCGAAACTGAAATGCCACTTCTCCGAGGGGATATTATTGCGCTGCTTGGCCTCTCTACCACTTTAGCGCTGAGTACGTTGGAGAGTGATAGAGAGCGATAAAACGGAGCAGCGAACCCACACAATGAGCGAGTGAACAAGGAGCTGCTCCGATCGCACGGCTCAATGAAAATAATTCTGAACTGAAGTAACACGTTAGTTCTTGTTCAACCTGCGCAAAGCCCAGATTCGAATGCTGATGACCATGAATTCTTTCAGAAGTCTGCAGTCAGATGCGAGTCTCGTGGCTGAAGAAAGTCGACTGGACTTGCTAGCCGCTGCCGTTCAGTGCTGGTATCCATTAGAGAAAATGGAATCAGTTTAGCTGTGCCTTTACTCCTCGTTTCGCGGAGTTCTGGAGAGCGAAGATGAAACCAGGGAGACGTAAAATATTTTCACGACTCCCTGGTGGAAACGAGTAATCGCCAACGCGGCGGATCACGCAGCTTGAAAGCAAACTTACTTGAACGGCGGCGACATCAAGCGGAGTGTGATCAAAGAAGCCGAGGCAGGGCTGAAACGAGCTGAACAACGACTCCAGAGAGAGAGATGACGACTCGCGTACAGCAGATGACGACTCGCGTGCAGCAGATGACGACAGCGACGCAGGTCAAAAATGAATCGAGCGAAAGCGACGCAAACTGAACTCTCTGCTCATTCCGCCAACAGTTTCTCTTGTAAAAGCGCTGTACATAGGCTGAATCACCGTCGTCCAGTAATTTGCAGTCGATACAAACTGTTCTTGACCTGTTCTAAGCGTTTTCATATCCATCAAAATCCATCACGAAGTTTTTGTTAACGGAGGAAGTATGTCAGAGAACTCAGTATAATGAAGTTTACAGTGCCGACCAGAGAAATCCAACAGCTCGTGAATAAAGTAGCACTGTGTTAGAGTGCACAGACCTGCAGTGTGGGTAGTGCTAGGGCTGTGTAGCCACCGTGTTAGAGTGCACAGACCAGTGTGGGTAGTGCTAGGGCTGTGTAGCCACCGTGTTAGAGTGCACAGACCAGTGTGGGTAGTGCTAGGGCTGTGTAGCCACCGTGTTAGAGTGCACAGACCAGTGTGGGTAGTGCTAGGGCTGTGTAGCCACCGTGTTAGAGTGCACAGACCAGTGTGGGTAGTGCTAGGGCTGTGTAGCCACCGTGTTAGAGTGCACAGACCAGTGTGGGTAGTGCTAGGGCTGTGTAGCCACCGTGTTAGAGTGCACAGACCAGTGTGGGTAGTGCTAGGGCTGTGTAGCCACCGTGTTAGAGTGCACAGACCAGTGTGGGTAGTGCTAGAGCTGTGTAGCCACCGTGTTAGAGTGCACAGACCAGTGTGGGTAGTGCTAGGGCTGTGTAGCCACCGGCAACGCTATTGTATTCATGAGCTGTTGGATTTCTTTGCCCAATACTGTACAGCAAAACCTGGTGAAAGTGACTTCTGGTTTTAGCGACCACTTGCTCCTAACGACCGTTTTTCCATGTGCGGACAGTTCTACATAGAAACTCCACCGGATACAGCGACTATCTGCCTTGCGCGAGTAGCAACCGACGTTTAGTATACCAAGTGCCATAATGGACCTGCACACAGCGACCGAAACTAGCCAAAAGTGCTATCTTGGCTGGCAGGGTTGACTGCAACACTGCCAACAGGGTTGAAGTGCGCTCTGAAGCAAGTGCATGCGGTCAACAGAAGTGACAGTTCAGGATGCACTGCATGCACTTGAGTGAGGTGTGCTTTGCCTCCATGAAAGTATTCTATGCTCCACACCTGTCAATATGAGTACATGGAAGTACAACCATGCACATGTATATGTATGTACACATTCCAAGATGCCACGAATATGTGGGACCTGGTTCTGAAGACCACCTGGCTTTAACGACCGCTTTTGCTTGCACCGTGGGGTGGTCGCTTATACCAGGTTTTACTGTAGTTAAGAATTGTCTTGCACTCAACATTGCCAATAACGACCCTTGATCGTCGGCCAAGAGAAAAGTGATGTCATTCGCGAGTTGTCGTTACTCGCAAGTTTGAATGTATATGGTCAAGTGTTTGCTTGGTCTGACGTAGTGTGGTTATTTGCGATTGTGACTATGCTTCATAGCATGTGTATGCTTACTATGATGAGGATATTTGGTTACAAACTGGGAGAATAGCAGCCCAAATGTTCTTCGCGATTCTCCTCTTCAGCACCCTGGTGTTAGGCATCTTCCTCAATGCCTCTTTTCACTTCCCTTTCATTCCATCCACCCTTCCAGGAAACTCCCCTGATAAGTATCCCTTTGATTTTAGAGAATCTTTTAGCCCTTTGACTAACTACTGCGCATACTTGAAATCGTTGATATATTCATGAAGTGCATACAGGCATTGGATAGACCACTGTCAAAACTAATCGTAACTGTGAAAAATATTGAATATTCAGAAATGACGGCTTGTAGGAAAGCTAGCAAATAGAGCTTTTTAGCGATTAAAACTACGAACAAGGCCGGTCGAGGCAGCTCCAAGTATAGTGCTCAATTCACAAAATAATGTACAGAGCAGTATACACATACAACGAAGGCGAAAGGCTGTGCAGCTACATAGCCTTTCACCTCCTTTGTATGTGAACGTATAACTGAAAGTACTCTGTGACTGCTACTAAGCCTTCTCTGTCAATGTGTACCTGGTATCATGTGAGTACCCCCCCCCCCCCCCACAAACATGCATACTAGTGTCGGTAGGTTGGACCTTGCACTGGGAGTAAGATATAAAAAATTGCTTCACATAGTTATGTCCATCCACTGCAGCGTACTATCAGGGTGCATTAACCAGATAGCAGTAGGTCGAGCGTGATCTGCGAATGTCCATAATGACACCTCTTAGCAAAGGGAATGCTGACAGAGTCCAGAATTACCCCTCATGGCCAGCAATCGAGGACATCTGAGAGTTGTAATTTTTGTACTCCTCCGAGGTGTGATTTTTGGCGTGCTGGGCCCAGCACAAGGAAGCCATCTGCAAAAAAACTGCAGAAAATGGTTGTTGTTTAATCCTTTGGTGTAATCTTTGTTTCTAGTCGAAGCTAGTTGCTGTTTGGAGCAGAAACGCTGAAATTGACTATTTTCTGCATGTACTCATACATGTACTCATGTACTCAGGCATGCAGTCTCACTCGTATTTTAGCTCTTTTTCTGGAATGGATGCTGCTCTGCGCTCCTTGGTGAACATTTCCTGCGCTCGTGGAGCAGCTGAAAAGGACCACTGGTATGTCTGGTTCCTGGTTTGAAAGTGGAGAGTCGACTTTTGTGCCTTGAAAAAGGAGTAGAGAGCGATAGAGGTACGTCTGTTGCTTATTTTTGAGTGCTCCTCGTACATTTTTGATCGTGATAGAAATTCTCAGACCAAAGTCAGACCAAAGTCAGCGCGATGATGGCCGTACAGTTTTCTTGTGGATTTTTTAGTTGTTTCATCTCGTATCTATGTCAGTATCGTGATGGTGAAGTGGAGAGGGTGATTTTCTTCCTCTAGGCTTCGTTCGGCCGACTTTGCTTCGTCCTCGTTGAAAAGTGATCCAGAAAAAAAGGTCGATTCGAAAAATTATGTTGATTTTGAATGTACGTGATGACATGCGATTGCTGGCTATGTTATGTCTTCATACCTCTTGTTGTCATTACTAGCCAGCATACCCCACAAACACTTGACAAATTGACTCTAGGTTTTGGTCGCTGTACATCCGATCGTGGAGAAGATGAGGGGAGTGAAGGTCCCATGATCGACATGTACGATTCGCTCTGCATAATCTAACTCCATCCCCTGTCCAAGCTCAAGGAGAAGAACACCAGTTGGCTTGATGACGAAGGAAGCTGCATCCAGATGGAGAATGAGACCATCCACAAACATGCCCTTTGCCCTCGTCCAGAATCCTGGCACCTTTACACATTTCTCAGCCTTCACATAGTCAGTAACATGCATGCTGTCTGCTGGAAACGTCTCGTCAGTAACCGCAGTGTATTATCACTACAGTACAACCTTGCTGCACACCTCCATCAGCAGCTACAAATCACACACCTCCATCAGCAGATACGCAAACAAATCCCACACCTCCATCAGCAGAGACGCAAACAAATCACACACCTCCATCAGCAGATACTCAAACAAATCACACGCCTCCATCAGCAGATACGCAAACAAATCACACACCTCCATCAGCAGATACGCAAACAAATCACACACCCCCATCAGCAGATACGCAAACAAATTCCACACCTCCATCAGCAGATACGCAAACAAATCAGTGACATCACACACCTCCATCAGCAGATACGCAAACAAATCACACACCTCCATCAGCAGATATGCAAACAAACCCCACACCTCATCATGATGCATTGTGGGAAAGTCTTGTATGTCGAGCAGCACATAGCATGAGTCACAGTGGCATTCTCTCTGCTAAACTTTCGTATCTGTTGCATTCTCCGAGGGCCACGTCTAATCCGACACTACTAGTAGAAGTGCCAGTTATGAGAGGGCGTATCACAAATTCATAGAAGCATCCTGGAATGTGAAACACATTCATTGCCAACAGGCAGCATCAAGACCTGTGTGGCAAGCAAACGCCTCACAAAGCATTGCCACATTATTGAGCAATTTAGCAGTGATGGTGTCATTTCTTTGCCCGTTTGTGCTTTTTGGTGCATTTTAGTACCTGGGCGTGGGTTGTAATCTTCGAACTCTTGGATACAAGTATCAGAGTCGCCACAGTATCAACTATACCCCGAATGAAGGACAGATTGCATCAGTTACGTTCAGAAAGAAGCATGCCAACACTGTACTGAAGTTATCCTATTCTGGTAATATACGCACAGGGGGAGAAAACACAGCTGCACGTTGGTACTTGAAGATCGACAACAGGGAGTGTGCTAGACCTACCAAGATTGATATAATGATGTTCCAGAGCAGTGGCGACAACACCCATGTCCCAGCCGTACTGACTGGTATCTGTGAGTCGACGTACAGCAGTGGAGCTAACATTACAGCTGGAGATCACACCATCACAGTACATGTTGGACGAGTTCCAGGCAATGCCGCCAGTGATGCATTTACAGGCGCGCTCAGCACCTCGATTCTTGAGATTCAAGAAATGTGTCCACAGTTTTAGCATCTGAAATGGTTATAACAGTGTACGTTGAAATTGGAAGATGGACAACAAGGAACAGGCCAGACCCACTAAGAATGATAGAACTGTAGGAAAGAGTACTGCCCACACCAACCATACACTGTACTATATTCACTGACCAGTATCTGTGAGTGGACTACCAGTAATGGAGTTAACATTGGCAGCTGGAGATCACACAATTACCGTGCATGTTAGAAGAATTACGAGGCTATAGCAATGGTAGTCCATACACATGTTAGTCCATCTTCTCCTTTCTCAAGTTTCGAACCGCACAATTTCAGTATTTCATGAATATTACAGGCTAAGTTTCTTGAAGACAAGGAACTGATTGTTTTGACAACAAGTGTTACTCAATAGATTCGTTGTCTAATTCCACCTTGGTTTTCTTCTCGCCCAGCGGTAAACATATTCTGCGCTGTTCAAATCTGGTAATGGTGGTGGTGCATGTGTGTATGTATTTACTATGTGTGTGTGTGTGTGTGTGTGTGTGCGTGTGTGTGTGTGTGTGTGTATGTGTGTGTGTGTGTGTGTGTGTGTGTTCGTGTTTGTGTGTGTGTATGTGTGTGTGTGTGTATGTGTGTGTGTGTGTGTGTGTGTGTGCGTGCGTGTGTGTGTGTGTGTGTGTGTGTGTGTGTGTGCGTGTGTATGTGTGTGTGTGTGTATGTGTGTGTGTGTGTATGTGTGTGTGTGTGTGTGTGTGTGTGCGTGTGTGTGTGTGTGTGTGTGTGTGTTCGGCTGTAATTTCTGTTCTGCATTGTCGCTGAACAACTATCCAAGATTGTTTTCTATTTTTCTTCTTGCTAGTACAAAGTAGCAGAGTGTGGAATTTAATCGCTATGTCCTTCTTTATGCAGTAACGATGTCTCCACTGGCACCCTTACACATGTACTGTATAGTTTCTGCTGGTCTGCATTCTGGTTTCTACTTACTTCCTTTATACGGTTTCCTGACTTCCTGGTAATGACTCACATATCATTATTCTGTCTCTGAATGAAGTACATATTTCAATAGTGCATAAGCTCTTGACTCCTGACTGTATCTTGCATGTACATGTAAGTGAAATGGGTAGCATGAAGTCCACTCTGTTATCCTTTTAGTTAGTCCTGTAGTTAGTATTTACCCCAACCTTCGTGTGTGTTTGTTCAAGGGCACAAACAAGCTTTAAAGACAACTTGACATGCGGCGGGGTACGCTGCGAGTAGCAACAGACAACCCACAAGGCAGAAATTGGTCACACACACTAAGTCAGAGACAGACTGAGACACAGCACATGCACACAAAACAAGACCAGGGAAGAACAAGAAGCAGACCAAAACAACTCTGGTTTCATCACTCACAAGCTGACAGTGAAAGTGACGTACACGAGCATGCTCAATACTAGTCAACAGTACAATCATAACTCTTCG